ACGGGTCACGGCTCGCGGAGAGAGGTCTGGAGGTTCTACAGGGAGGGCCTTGCCTCCTCCAGAGGCGCAAACCCCGGACCCGGGGGGCACAGCCCGGGAACCAGGCGCTGCCGGGAGAGGGGGTAGCGGAGAAGGGGAGACCCCAGCTCTCGCTCCGCACCTTCGCCCTTCCGGGCGGGTCCCGCTGTCGCCGCTACCAGGGCCGGCAGGGGGCGCTGCGCCGCCCTTCCCGCGCGCCCTGGGACCAGAACGTGACGACCTGGTTCTTCCGTAGAGGTGGCTTGCCAAAGGCTCTTTGAAATTCTGAGGAACACTGCACGAAACTGAGCCAATAGGCTTCGGATAAAGAGCGTCTCCTGTGTACCACGAGCTCTCCATCACGACGGTGGTTAGATGTGCGGAAGGCGGGGGTGTGTGCTTCTGTCTGCTGGGCTGCTGCGGGGTGACACGTGGGGGTGTCCCGGTCAGCTCAAGGTTTCATCGCGGTGGTACTTTTAAGTTTTCTTCCTAACGTCATTGTCTGGACTTTCTATTACCAGGATCTTCCTTACCGGCCGAGAAGGGGCTGCAGTGAGGTAGTCCCTTTGACTTTTTCCTTTATATCTATGTATGCATCGCACATGCAAATGGTAAGCGTAAATGCAATACTGAGGAACAAATCTGGTAAAAAGGATGTTTTCCTTTGGTCGTTGTTTGTTAGGCTCCAGTTTTCTTTTCCAGACGCAGTTCAGTTTTTTATGTCCCTTCACCGTCTTTATCTATTACACAGATTTAAGTATTAAATATTATTAATATATTTGATGGAATATGATTCAGCCATCAGAAACATGAAATCTTGGCATTTGCAACAACTGGATGGAACTGGAGGATGTTATGCTAAGTGACAGAAGTCATTCAGAGAAAGACAATTATCATATGATCTCAGTGATCTGTGGAATTTAAGACACAAAGCAGAGGATCATAGGGGAAGAGAGGAAAAAATAAAACCAGAGGAAACCAGAGAGGGAGACAAACCATACAGACTCTTAATCATAGGAAACAAATTGAGGGTTTCTGGAGGGGAGAGGTGTAGAGGGATGGGGTAACTGGGTGATGGACATTAAGGAGGGCACATGATGTAATGAGCACTGGGTATTATATGAGACTGATGAATCACTGACCTGTACCTCTGAACTAACAATAATTATATGTTAATTGTTGAATTTAAATTAAAAAATTCAAAATAATAATGAACAAATATATTATTACAAAAAAATAAATAAAAATAAAAGTTTATTGACAGGGCGCATGGGTGGCTCAGTGGGTTAAGTGTGTGCCTTTAGCTCAGGTCATGATTCCTGCGTCCTGGGATTGGAGCCTCTGGTCTTGAGTGGTCAGGCTCCCTGCTCAGTGGGATGTCTGCTTCTTTCTTGACCTCTGCCCCTCTCCCTTGCTCACAGGCTCTCTCTCTGTCTTTCAAATAAATAAAGAAAACATTCAAAAAAGTTAATTAACATGTATATATGTGCATGTGTTCCCTCATTTTCCTTCACAGATAATAACAATTATATGCAATGTAGTACACTGTTTCCTCTTTCCCACTAAGAATATATTTTGGACCTATTTCATGTCAGTAGCAAAGGTGTATTTGGTTCTATTTGCATAGTATTCTGTTGTAAGGATATGCATCATATTTTAACCAGTTCCATGTTCAGGACATTCTGTTTGTTTCCCAACTTTTACTAGTATAAACCACTTAGGAGGAATATATTGGAACAAAACAGCAGCCCGAAGGCCCATGGATTTCTCTGTAGTGCGTGTACTGTCCATAAGTCCCTCCGCGTGCTACTGGTCTTCCCTGGAGATAAGCTCTGAAGCTCCCTCGTGAGTGTGGGTTCCGGGGGCTGTGGGTTGACAACAGGAAACCCTTCCAGATGCACTTGCTGTTACCAGACCTAAGGAAGCCGAGGGAAAGTGAACATTCTGGGCACAACTGAGTAGTTATTTTTATTATGATTATGATTATTTTTCCTTTTTTAAAATTTTTTATTTCTTTTCAGCGTAACAGTATTCATTGTTTTTGCACCACGCCCAGTGCTCCGTGCAATCCGTGCCCTCCCTAATGCCCGCCACCTGGTTCCCCCAACCTTCCACCCTCTGCCCCTTCAAAACCCTCAGATTGGTTTTTTTTTGTAATGGGTATCTGAGAAATCAGTATCAATTGGATTAGACTTTGGTCTTTTAATAGTGGAGACAGTTAAAATAAACCATTTTAGTATATGGCGGACAAACTAAGGTACTAGGATGGACAGCTAACTTATTTTTACATTCACTTGGAGCATGTTGTGGAGTGGATTGAAAGTTCCCATTTGTAAGACAGTTTATCAAAATTGCCTCACTGAACCCTCATGCCAGACTACAAGGTAGTTCTGACTGTCCCCATGCTAGAGATTGTCCTGAGGCCCAGATAGGATGGTGATAGCAGGGAGCAGCAGAGTCTTGAGGGTCTACTTTCAAGCTGCAGTGCTCTTCCTTGGGCACTGCTGCTCAGAGGGAGGCAGGGTGCGATAGGGTTAAGGTCAGTTCTGCCCATTCAGGCTGCCTCTGAGTCTCATCTCTAAGAAGGGTATATCATCCAGACAGAAGTACCTGGCTTCTCAGGGTTTTGTTTCCTAGGTAGTCATGTTTCCTTAACAAGATGTATTTGTAGAATGTGACAGATGGAACTAGCCTCTGTTCCAATGGTTTTCTCAACTTTCACACCCCTGTCATCTCCAGGTGCAAGCTGTGTTTATTATTTTTTTTTCTGATTTTTTTATTTTTATTTTTTGAGATTTCCTTTATTTATTTGTCAGAGAGAGAGAGCACAAAGCAGGGGGAGAGGCAGGCAGAGGGAGAGGGAGAAGCAGGCTCCCCGCTGAGCAGAGAGGCCAAGGTGGGGCTCCATCTCTAACCCTGGGATCATGACCTGAGCCAAAGGCAGACGTTAAAAGTCTCAGGTCATGATCCCAGTGTCCTGGGATTGAGCCCTGCCTCAGGCTCCCAGAGAGCCTGCTTCTCTCTCTCCCTCTGTTGCTCTCCCTACTTGTGCTCTCTCTCTCTGTCAAATAAATAAATAAAATCTTTAAAAGAAAAAGAAAGGAAAAAGAAAAAAATGTATTGAGGAAAGAATTGATGGTTTGACATCTCCGTGTGTCTAGATTGGCTGAAGGAATTTTGGGAGTGCGTGGATGCTGCAAAAACTACAAGCTCTGGACATCACATTACTGAACTTAAATATCAAGGCTGCCATAGAGTGCACCCACCATTCCTAAAAGTCCAAGAAACGAAGGTAGGTTTCTGGAAAAGTGAAGCTACGCTTCCTGTGAGAAAAAATGATTTTCCTCCTCATCCTGAGTGATTTGATCAGTGAACTTTCCAGAGCAGGAGGTCAACAGAACCAAGGGAACTAAGTACCCTACTATGCCATCCTTTCTGATCTTGTTTCTTGGGTCTCCCTAGACCTACTTCCTTGATGCCATATCCATAATCTCCCTCTACGTTACTTCTTTTTTTAGAGATTTACTTATTTATTTGAGAGAGAGAGAGAGAGAGAGAGAGATCATGTGCAAACAGGGGATGGGCAGAGTAGGGGAGAGAGACAGATTCCTAAGCAGACCCTAGTTGGGCACAAAGCCCAATACAGAGCTTGATCCCAGGACCCTGAGATCATGATCTGCACTGAGATCGAGAGTAGGCCCCTTAACAGACTGAGCCACATAGGGGTCCCTCTCCACTGCACTTAAGAAAAGGGAGGGGCGTCTGGGTGGCTCAGTTGGTTGAGTGACTGCCTTCGGCTCAGGTCATGATCCTGGAGTCCTGGGATCGAGTCCCACATCGGACTCCCTGCTCGGCAGGGAGTCTGCTTCTCCCACTGACCTCTCTCCTCTCATGCTCGCTCTCTCTTTCTCAAATAAATAAATAAAATCATTAAAAAAAAAGAAAAGGGAGACTGCAGGATTTTCTTCCTGAGTCCACTCTGGTAGCAGAAAGAACAAGGACTGGAGGCCAGGAGACCTGGGGTCTAGTCTCAGCTGTGCCACTAAGTAGCAGCAGCCGTGAGCAAGTCACTTAACCTTTCTGAGATTCAGGCTGTTCCTCTGTAAAAGTGGGGATTACTATCTCAGGGATGGCAAGTGGAACACACACATTTACCTCCATCCTGCCTTCAATGGAGGTTACCGTTCAACCTCATCGCTTATTAGAATTTTTTTCTGCAACATTCTAGGCAGGCCCATCCCATTAAAGTGGATACACGAGTATCCTACTTATTCTTCTGCAATTTAATAATCCTTACAGACCCCTCTAGCTCCTAAATGGAAGGTTCCAACTTTCCAACTAAGAGATGGCCATTTTTGTGATCTGGTAATAGCTCACTCAATAAAAGGAAAAGGAAAATTTAGGATCATAATTTCATCCCTTACTCCTGCCCAAGAAGACCTGGCTGGCTCTTCTTGAGGTCACCCTGTCCTTCCTTCCATGCCAGAGATTTTGGTATTTGAGCTCACCCTCCATCAGCTCACCCAGCAGGACAGTCCCAGACTGTAGCTCCCTTTCATCTCAAATAGCCCATACTTAAAAGCTTCATATTTGGCAGCAAGGCATCTCTGAGAAAAGGAATGATCTCAGGTCACTGAAAACCAAGAGTCAGGAGCAAAGGCATGTAATGATTCTATTCAATGCTTACGAAATCTACCCAGATTTACAGTTCTCACCCGAGCAGGAACACAATCACACAGACAGTACCAGATGGCGACAGCTTCAGAAATCCAGGTGGTTGCAATAGTGTTCTATTGAAAGAAGCAGTGAAGTGGTTCACACGGGCCCCCTTCTGCCCCCAAACCACGCAGGGGCAAACGCTGGGCAAGAATGTGTGTGTGTTTGGGACAGGAGCCCTGGCTGGAGTTCTTTCTCTCAGAGCCAGGAAGGGAGAGGGGAGAAACAGTTGCCACAACAGGGAGGTGGGGCATCTCACTGCTCTGGCCTCAGGTGCAGACCTACACAGAACCGTCAAAGTGGACTGTCTCATACTGTACACACTCACAGGCCACGATGATGGATTTCTGTAGCTGCTGGGTCTGGTAGTCGCATTTGGGGTATTTGGAGCCTTTCTTCAGGCGGCAGTCGGTGATGCGCATCTTGGAGCTGCTTTGGTGGCAGTTGGACTGCCCGTTCTTGCAGCGGACATTTTCCTGGAAGCAGATGGCCCGGACCTTATGCAGAGGCTCGTGGATAAATGTGTTCACCAGCTTGCACCGTCCAACCGTCATATTCCGGCGCTTCATCATTTCATTGCAGTAGCTGGCAGTGATGGTGGAGGTGTTTGGGTCCATGTGCTGCCGCTGGAACTTCTTGGCCCGAGACTCCTTGGCCAGTGAAGGCTGGACATAGTCCAGCACCAGCAGCACCAGGAACAGTGGTGGGAACAGGATGAAGAACCTCTCCTGATCCATGGTGGTCTCACTCCTCTGGAAGAGCCTAGCCAGGAAAGGGAGAGAGGAGAAAAAACATTGCCTTTGAAAGAACCCCAGCTCCCACCTGTGGCCTCCCTGGCTCACAGTCTCTGTTTGGGTCAGCCAGAAAGGTACCCCTTCTCCTGTGCAATTTTTCAAGGAATGAGACGCTCACATACACTCTTGTCCAAGAGCATTTAAGTCCCACTAGCTGGAGAGAGGTGGTCTTCGCCTCTGGGTGGTGACTTGACAGTGAACTAAAATCCTACAGTCCTGTGTCTGAATATTAGAGGTAAAATTTAAAATCCATTTGAGGAGGCACATGGGTGGCTCAGTCTGTTAAGTGTCTGCCTTGAGCTCAGGTCATGATCAGGTGTCCTGGGAATGAGTCCCACCTCCAGCCCAGCTCCCTCCTCAATGCGGAGCCTGCTTCTCCCTCTCTCTCTGCTGCCCCCTCTGCTTGTGCTTTCTAGCAATCTCTGTCATATAAATAAATAAAATCTTTAAAACACTAAAAAATAAATAAAATACATTTGAAAAATAAATACATTTATACCCAGTGCTCAAGGGGCTTAGCAGAAAATCCTTTTGAATAAACCGTGAACTGAATGGCATCCCTGAACTACCACCATGACCTGCTGAATCATGACGGACAAGGGCCTGTTGTCCTGCAACGTAAGGGAAAGAGCCCAGTGCCTAACACCAGCATCACAAAGGGATGCCATAGTATTCCCAAGAGAAATGCTTCCCTCCCCCAGCGTCATTGGTTCCCTGCAGCCCACATGCTCCATCCTCATACTGGTCCAGCCCAAGCTTTCTCAGGTGCTAACCTCAGCCACCCTGGTCCCTCCAATCTAACGCATAAATAGAAGGAGTCCCAGAGATCTCCTCTTCAGCCACTGACCTGGATCTCTAGCTTGGTCCCTAGGACAGAGCAGAAGGCCAGTCTCTGTGATCCCTGGATCCTTGGGGAGGGAATCTTCTGCAGATTACAAAGGGGCTTGGCTTCCAAGGAAAGATAGGTGGGAGGAGCATCTTGGTTTCACTTTAGAGGGAACCAAGGACCTTGTAAAGAAGGACATTGTAGGGAATCATCTATACCTCTTTTTTCAGGACTGCTGGGAAGGGTGAGTCTTGGCCTCTACGGTACTGATGTCTGAACCCCAGCAAAGTCCTGGTCATCTCAGGGGGCCATTTTCACCAAAAAGCGCTTGGAGGTTTGCAAATGACACATAAACATGTGATCCCCAGAACAGCAGAGAGAGGGAGGTCTTCTGTCTCCCCAGGAGTCCTGGCATGGCTGGAATTCCAACAACACCTTTTCTGTGGGGAAGAGGGTGGGGCATCCAGGTGCCCCCCAGTGGAAGGCTGCAAGGACCTGAGGTCTGGGGAGGGGCGTGGGCAGTGGCCGGGCAGGGAGGAGGAGGAGACCTGCGACCTTACCCAGTGCTGGCCACGTCAGCTCTCCTGGATGTGGAAGGTGGGTGTGCGGCAATTCTTGGCCACAGCAACCACTCCTGGAAGGTCAGAGTGGAGGACAGGAACTAAAGTCAAACCGAGTCCCCAAGGGATGTCAGCCTGGCTCAGTCACCAGTGCATGGGACTGTTGATCTCATGGTTGCAGGTTTGAGCCCCATCCTGGGATTGGAAATGACCTATAAAGAAAAAAAAAAAAAAACACCCTCAAATCCCTTTTGGTGAAAAAAGTAGAGAACACCATATTTCTTAGCAGCAGAATTCCCTCTGTCAACTGAGAAAGTAGGGAAAACTGAACAAGAACAAAAGCCTTTACTGGGAAGTCTCAGGATTGTGTTTTTTGGATCAATACCTCAAAAGCTCTCTCCTGTACAGGAAGAGCAGAGTGTTGGGGATAAAGGGTCGGGGACAAGTATCTGACTTGCATCAGGGAGCAGAAGGCTCTGACAGACTGAGCCCTGCTGGTTTACACTTGGGTTGATTAATACATTGGTGTTACCACAACACACGATTTCTGATTTGCATGAATTAATCATCTGTCATCAGAAGGCCACACTGGCAGTTTTATGACCCAGATGCCAGGTGTCCCGTTGCCTTTATACACAACTGCTTATAAAACAATTACTGTGTCTGGCCAGTTCAAAAGGTCTTTCAGCCCAGTTCAAAACTTCACTACAAGGGGAAATGGAGCTTCAAGATGGAGTCTGTCATGCCCAGAAATTTTATACAATTTCACACCTCCTAAAAAGAGACCTGTCCTTTCTGGGTGACAATTTCCATTCCTCTGGAATGAGAATAATCATAATTCCCTCCTTGCTCTGCATTTAGATGGTCTCAGTCCAAATTCTGATTTAGCATCTGAGGAGCTAGGCAACTCCTAGAACTGAATTTCTTTCCCTGTTCCTCCGTTTCCTCAGCCCTGAAATGGGGATGATGATAAGTACGTCTTAGGTTTATTATGAGGACAAAATAAGGTAAGATGGGCAGAAAGCTTGGAGAGGTCCTTGGAAAGCATGATAAATGCTAGCTCTAGTGATGGCTCACATAGGGTGCTGTTGACATCCTCCATAAAGAATCTGTGTCATTGACATGGAGCCGTCTCTGACTTCCTAAAGAAAGTAGGGGTGAAGTAAAAACCTCCCAGGCTTTTTTGTTTTTGTTTTTGTTTTGCAAGAAACCTGAATGTGAAAAAGTAGGCAGTTTTGAAGCCCTGAGGAGAGGAAGAAAGGGGAAGAGGAGAGAAGAGAGGGACCTTAGTAGAAAGAACAGAATTCTTTAAAGGGAAGAATTTTTATTATGTTGCCACATGATATCCAAGAACTCCTTCCGAAGTCAGCATGACTTGCTAACAAGTATGAATTGGAAAGTGCCACTGGGGTGAGGAAGATGTGGTATGGTGTGAGCTTTTACTTTTATGTAATTTGCCCAGCACCCTACCCTTCACCCAGGTTTGGTCTGTCTCTTTGTCCTTACATAGCACGCATATCATCTGGAATGGTGTTGGGAGGAAAACTTCCCTTAACCACTTAGGTTCATGTCAGAGAGCCTGCAATGTCCCTGATAAAAAAAGACTGACAGGAAAATAGACAATGTTTATTCACACGCCTGTGTCGGAGCTCAATGAAGTGGCTCCCTGAACAGCAAGGGATAGGGGTTTCTAGATTAACATCATAGGGGAAGGAAGGGAAGGAAATAGGATATAAATGGGGTCTTGTTTTTGTGTTTTTGGGGGAGATAAATGAGCTTTTAGGGAACAAGTGGGAAGTAAGACAGTTTGTGATAATGTTTGCTTATGTAGGCATGAGTAGCCTATTCTCTTCCAGGCTGTAAAACTTCCCCAGTGGAGATCTAGGGCAGTTTCACTTTCAGAAGATTGCCTTTATTCAGGTAAGAGAATCTCTGAGGGACACCTGGTGCCTCAGAAGGTTAGGTGTCCAGCTCTTGATTTCAGTTCAGGTCATGATCTCAGGGTCTTGGGATCCAGCCACCATCAGGCTTCTCCCTGTCACCGGGGAGTCTGCTTAAGATTCCCTGTCCCTGTCCCTCTGCCCCTCCTCCCCTACTTCTCAAAGATAAAATAAAATAACCACTTAGAGCTGAGCAGGTGAAAAGTTAGTGACTTCTACATCAACCACTTTTTAAGGGATAGGTACTTGTTACCTTGCTCTCTCTTTCCTGCTTGCTTCTGAGCAGGGACAGAAGACTGCCCCTTCTTCTGGTTCATTGTGCCATTAATTCATTCTCTCCCCACAACTCTCCATCTCCCCATTTCTGGGAACTGTAAGTAACAAATCTTAAGAATTTGCTTCTGTGTCTATGTTCTGAAATGTTGACCTGGGTTTTTCACTCCCCAAAGTGGTAACTGGAATGCCGAGGGAGTAAGCTGACCGTGTGGATGGGTTTTCCCCTCTTCAGCACATCATAATCTTTTTTAAGATTATTTATTTATTTATTTATTTATTTGACAGAGAGATCACAAGTAGACAGAGAGGCAGGCAGAGAGAGAGGAGGAAGCAAGCTCCCTGCTGAGCAGAGAGCCCGACGCAGGACTCGATCCCAGGACCCTGAGATCATGACCCGAGCCGAAGGCAGCGGCTTAACCCACTGAGCCACCCAGGCGCCCCAGCACATCATAATCTTAATTGAATACACTAGCTCTGATTTCTCAACACACCAACATAGAATTATTTACCCTGGCACTTGGGAATGAAGATAAAATAAGGCATTTGCTGACAAAACAATAAAATATAACAAAACCTAATAGAGTTTATAACTTCATTAAAGCAGCCCTCCACTAAAAATATTTCTAAGCATGGATTTCAGGTTACAGAGAAAAGCTACTCAATGGAAATATGAAATTCAGGAAGAAATAAGAAGATGATGACAAATAAGTGAACAAATCAAAGACGTCTAGAGTATATAAAGCAATGATGTGTTCTTGAGTTAAGAAGATAAAATTAAAATAAACATCACTAATATAACTTGGAAGTGATGTGAATTTCCAAGTGTTCAAGAGATGACTAAAAGTACTGATTAGACTTGTCTATGTTTACTATGCATTTGAGAATTTCTAAGGTAAACAATGAAAAGATTTGAAACATAGGGTTTGCATTCCAAACTAGCAGAAGGAATAAGTAGACTGTGGATCAGTTATGATAGTCTAGGTTGTGCTGCAGTAACAAACAATCTTAAAATTTCAATAGTTTAAAGTTTCTTACTCAGTTACCGCTATGTGTCTATCCTGGTCCAGCCAAGGGTCTCTGCCTGCTGTAGTCACTTGGGAAAACAGGCTGACACAGGCTTCATCTTGACATGCACTGTCATAATCACAGAGGCAGAGGAAAGACAATATAACACTGGGATGCCCAGGTGGCTCAGTTGGTTAAGCAACCTGCTCATGACTTTGGTTCAGGTCATGATCTTGGGTCATGAGATCAAGCCCTGAGTTGGGGTCTGGGATGAGCCTGGGGCCTGCTTGAGATTCTCTCTCTCTCTGCCTTCCTCCCACTCATTCTCTCTGTCTCTCCCTATGTAAATAAATAAAACCTTAAAAAAAAAAAACAGCACCCCACAGGACACTCTTAAAATTTCTGCTGAAAGGGACACATGTCACTTCTGTTCACACTTCATTGACCAGAGAAAGCCTCATGTTAACATTTAAATACAAGGGACAGAAAAATAGGATCTTTCTAGGTGCCTGGAACAAGAGAACTATTTGTGAACAGCCTTAATGGCTGTCACTGAATGACAGACAAATACACCTATAATCCAAAAGAAGAGAGAAAGGATAGGAAATAGAAATGCCAGACAAATGAGACACATAGAAAGGGCAAAATAAGATAGTAGATATTCACTGAGGAGAATAAAAGTGAAAAATTACATTATATAAATGGGCTAAATGGTCGAGTTGAAGATAAGATTGATAGTGGGGAAAAAATTAACACTCTTTCTCTTTCTGTCTATGTGCACGTATGCAGAGAGAGTAGGCACACACACCATGTGTATATTTATATATACATAACATTATTTATATATAAGATATGTATCTATCTTACAATTTTAAAAAATGTTTAAGATGGAAATATTTATTAAATGATGACATGTAATAATCAGGAGATCAATGGAGCATTTGCTGGAGTACTTTCAGAGCACCCTTATTCGAATATATTAAAGAGAAAGTCAGAGACAAAGAAATGGAGTTAACAAGGAGGCTGACAATGAGGGGATGGAGCAAATCTGTGCACTAGTGTGATGCGGGTGACTGGAGAGAAGGTGACTTGAAGGTGTGCACATCTTGAGGAAAGCCAGTACAGCAGAAGATACTGAAAATATAGCACAGAGATAGAGCATAGCTCCAGGAAGGAGGCTGACATGGATAGAGGAACAGGAGACTTTCTTGTCTGTGAGGATGGTGGAAAGGGGGAGGTGGGTACCAGACAAGGA